GGTGGCTAGTAATGAAACCTAAGACGTGAGTTTCATCTTATTTGGGACTTTTTAGCTGGATGGACCTGCTTTGCAGTAGATTTAATATCCTAAAGGAAATCCATTCTCTCCTATAGATTCTTATTCAAAACATTGAATAAGGTACTCAGAGATGTAGTCACTTTTGCCCTACTTGTTTGATTAAAAACTGCATCAGGTAGGCATCTAATACTGCACACTTTCATGTAGTATTCCATCGCTTAGCTTAGCAGTCAAAATGAAATTTCATCGTCCTCATCAAAGTAAGAGACACAAGATTTGCAGAATAAATTCAGCTCATATTTATTTCGTGACTTCTCCTTAGTTGCGAACAGTCTGGAATAAATGGGAAATTAGTATTGGGATAGAATGAGAAGCATACATTTTAGGTGGAACAAAAGTTATCATTTACAATGGGAAATATAACTAAAACAGGGCAAACGCAATTGAAAAAATCTCAGTAATCCAATTGATGCTGAGAAAGCTTATTTATTTATGACACAGTCTAGATGAATCTGTAACCTTTAAAATGAAACATCAATGAAATAACCTTTGCTTTACTTTGCCTTTCAGAATCAATAACCATAGAACACTTTAAACTTGACCTTTATGCATAGGAAGAAGCAATGATTATTCCAGGATTACTTTAGCAAGTATTCTATCCTCTACCTTATCCTTTTTCAGTCATCTGTCGTATCTTCACAACCGTTTCTATTTGCCCTACGTTACATAACATTCATTTCAAGTTGAAATTTATCACATACTAACAAGACGTTGGTGAACCATTGAAAACCTGGCGGCACTGAACAGCTGTTTAGTCTTATTATGGGACTCCCTATCCACTGTTTACTCAGCGGTGACGTGCTAGCTGCCAAACTTGAAGGATCTGGGTTTCAAACCTTGACTGGGACAAGGGTAGTCATTGCTGAGGCGTCGCATACTAGGATAACAAAGCTGTCCACTTCTCCCAGGTTTTCAATTGATCTCAGTCCGTAATGAATGCCGCTTGAATAAACTGTCTAAAACCCTCAAAACGAATTCGGTCATTAGTATGATCACATTGTTATTACGATGATGATAGCGACTATTCTATCATCATAACTATTCTTCCACTAGCTGTTCAAACTGTGGAGTTTTTCATCTATTAACCCAAAAGAAGACAAACTTTATCACCATCATTTACACTGCTAGTATGCTTTATATTTCCCGTCGTTAATGATACTTTGTACTGCCTCTTAGGTATGTTTCTCATTCTAGCTAAATACTAATTCCACGTTTATTTCTGACTGTTTGCATCTGAGGTTAAGTTACGAAAAAGATATGTGCTGAATCTATTACGTCAATCTTATTCTCCTTACTTTGATAAAGACTTCGAATAGTAGTTAGATTTGAAGGGGAAGTGCACTGGTTGCCAGTCTGTAAGAAAACCTTTCGCACTGGTTATTTGAAAACATTACATGGGAAAATGTCCATGTATTATTTACCATGTAATAAATATGTATCATCATCAAAATTGAGATGTGCTACTGACTGATAAACAAGCAAAGAACACAAATAAGAAACACATGACGCATAAAAAATGCAAATTTTTGTTAAAAAATCATTGTATAATAGGAGATTAGGTCACATATCTTTAATTTGTTATAAATGAATAGAAAATAGAGATTGATTATACTCATAAATGGGAGGATGAGGGTCGATAACATGATAGCCAATCTTTGTAGTAATTGCCTCATCATAATTGATGACCTTCGTTTGTTTTTATTTCCGCATGGAAGATAATCAATATTTATCGTGGATCTATAGCTTTTGTCTTTGGATTATATCTATCATTTGGCTATCATACTTAAGATATGAGAAAATCAGTAAATTAACGTCTGATTAATAGTTGAATTCACAAGGCCTACTTGGGCTGCCAAACTTAGATGTTATAGTGTAATATGTTGAAAGATCATATTGATAATTCTCCTGTGTCCCCTAAACTTTAAAATGTGATCCCGAATGATGTCATTGATGAAGTCAACGAAGCTAGCATAAAAATGTCAAAGATAGAAGCACTTATTGACTGAAGAATATGAACAAGGAAGCTTGAAAACTTACTGGTTGAAGTGTTTCTAGAAAACGTACTGTAAGGCGTATACGATATTCTCCATTATCTACCTTGATCATACTGTATAGTCTAAGTATTACATATCTTCAGGATCATTTTGCATCACCTAAACATGCCAAATGCTGATTTCATCTGTCGTACGTTGATAACGCACCTAACGCACCTAAAATGGATACATTGCACTGTTCTACAGGCAAATAAACAGCTGTGTTAATGTAGTGAAAATCGTTGTACACATTGGAAATGAATTAAGTAAGCTACTTATTTTGGGCTGTGATATCCAAAGGATGATAGTTGGCAGTTTGAAGTCTACTATCTACAATTCATGTAGATTTCCTGAATTTCATCCAGCTGATCCATACCTAGGGAAATCAGGGTTCAAAGAATGGATTATCCAATAAAATGACCCTATGACCAACGGCAACAACTGAGCATCACATTTAGATGGTCGTTCAGTTTATAAAAGATAAAGAAGCATAGTTTGAAGTTTATAGGGATTTTATTCTGCTTTTACTACAACTCACTGAAGAAATATGTCACTGAAAGATTCAATAACTGACAGCAGAACTATAAACAGTTTTTTTCCATGAACCTCAATGTAAACTAGTAGTTTTTATTACATGCACTTATAACGCATAAACACAGTCATACCCGTTGCGATTTCACAGTTGTTAATACTCGTCTTTTCCTTTTTTCACAGATTAAAATCAACTCGAATAAAATATGAATTGGTTCACTGATGACCCTTTGGTGCAGACAATTAACACTTAATATGATTACATTTCTACCAACAATATTCTATTACTAATCCTGTTTCTTAATTTGAAGGACCTTTTTTTATTCACCAGTAGTACTAAATTTATATTTCACACCGAATAGTTCCTCTAGATAGATGGCGTGACCATGGAAAGTCCTTTAGGCCACTGACTAGCAGATACCTACAAGTCATACCTTGAGTGTCTTTTTGCAAATTCCATTCTAGAAGTTTCTTTCTACAAACGAATTATGGACAATATGGTGATTAAAAATGATAGGCATGAACAAGACTGTACCTAAATTACCATGGTTTCTATTTATTACCATTTGTCCCTTGGGTTCCTAATCGAACATAGGGCCTCAGTAGCACGTCTCTAGTACACTCTGTTCTCTGAAATCTTTTGAACCCACTCCATGACAGCCCACGAGCTCTCATTTCCTCCTCGCATGACCTCCTCCATATCACCCTGAACTCGGACGCCCAACTCGTCGTCCGAGTCAAATGTCTACTCAACTGGGTTTTAAGGATTTACACAAGTAGACACTTTAGAGCGGAAATACCAGAGCACATCAAATTGTTGTTCGCCGGTGATTTTCTCCCGAAATTTATTGATCACAGTAGAAATTCCGAGCAAAGAAGATCCACTGTTCAGTCCGTCCCAAAGAAAGTGTTTATACCACACTATCGTATATGGGTGACTCATATAGTCTGGGAAACTAATAAAGGCTAGAAGAAGTTATCTGGAGAAAATATTGTGCAGCGAAGGTCAATATCATGAAGAAGACAAAACTTATGTACTCCGGTAAATTACTGCAGCACTTGAACGATTGGGTGACGTCCAGCTGCGTTTTGAACTCTACTTGTACATTTGGTTACACACACATTGGGATAATCCGTTGGTACAGGCAAAACAGCGCACTTTAGAATGACTGAAACAACAAATCAAATCGAAAAATCCCAACGACTCAAAAAATAGGCATCGAATATCATCTATTGATAAGCACATCACTGAAAAGGATCATAGGTTGATTTGTGTGGTGTTTTAAAACCTATTTACAAAACTTAATGAGAAGTTTGTTTAAGATGGAGCTATAGAGAAGTCTAGGAGTCTTTTAAGTATTCAGAAACAATCTGCTTTTATATTGAAACTCCCTAGATAACTCAAATTTAATACGGAGGTGGTTAATGTACCATCTGTCTCTTTCCATATAAACTACCAGTTTAACCCTTTTTATATCAATCATATTTTTAAACCTATTTATTCTTCGTTTTACTTCATATAACGAGTAAGTTTGTAACCAGAATGTTTGAAATCTACTGCGTTTAAACATTAAATGTTTCAGATAAACTAAGGTTCCTTATTTTTTTTGTCGAAAACACAAATTGATTTGAAATTTGTATAACAAATATTCACCTGTCATTCAGGTATTAAATGAAGTTTGAGGTTAAAACGGGTCTTTTAAGGTAGCATTTATTATGAGCTAACATAATTTTCACAAAGACTGAAAACCTGGGAGCTTTAGACAGCTGTTTCGTCCTAGTATGTGTTTCCTCGGAAGTATGAACACCCGATTACGGTTATTGTCACTCCTAGTAACAAGTGTGATCTCTGCTTGTCAGGTGACATGTGATTAAAAAGTCTACAACAGAGTTTATTCTAGATACTGAGTTTCATAGAACATTGTTGACAATCAGACACGCCCATATGACACACCCAGTGAATACAGTAAACCTTATAGAAACTTTTCCGTTGCTTTTTATCACGTCACATAAAATATTTAGGAATCAGATAATATTCATTGTCGATTGGTATTTTTTCAGAAGCAGAAAAACAGATCAATCGAAAAGCTTGTACCAGTGCATTACTTTTACTAGTTAGTTAGTTGACCAACCACTATCAACCAATCAGGAATAAGTAATTTTGGTTGTTTAGCCTTAATATGAAACTTGGTCCAGTGATTTTTGCGAATAGGCTACATTTCCTATTCGATTGGTTAGCAGTATGAGTGATTTCTAACCTTGATAACAACTAGCTGATTGGTGAATAAACAAACTAAGACCTAAATGGTCAGGACCATAATTTGAAGTGGGCGGTATGTCTACAATAAATTGACCACTTTCTGAGGTGTGGCATATTCGTTTTGATCTGCATTCAAGACTTCAGCTTGGCGATGGGTTCGTTTGCAGTAAGTGCTACTTATTATTTTAGTCATAAGTTGCGTATATTTCTAGTCTTTTTTATTTCATTTTCAGTTTGTTGTTTCTATAAATAAGTTGTTATAAGTTAACGGTTGATTTGCTAACACTTAAACGAATGATAGTTGACTAAGCATATCATATAAGAACAGTGAAAAAATGTAGTTTTTTGCAACTTATCAGGAACTGTTCACAAATTTGAGATATGAAGTCGATAAGCATGAATTTAAGTATCAGCGTGCATGTACATGCTGTAATATGTCTGCTGACAATAGCCGACTTGAAAGTTATTTTAGTTGTTCAAGTAGGACAACATATTTTCACGCTTAATCAGCGTAATGTCATTTGTGAAGAATCCAAGATTTCAAGAATAACTAAGGACGATGAATCGGAATTGACGTCAGATAATTCAGTGAATTACTTTTTATTCTTAATCTGCCCGAGTTAATTGTTTGTCTACAAAATGGATATGAGAAAGATGTGAATAGCTTCGTTGGCTCTGGTACTACCTTAGTGCAACTACTGGCTGAACAGAAAACTTGGCAGAGCTTATACACGTTTGCATCGGACAGTAGTCAAACATTTATATTCCACCGTATTCTTTGTGATTGTTTTCACAAAACATTTTATCTGTTACACAAGTACTAGGAAATCATTTCAGACAAATATATATTCCCTAATATTTCGAGTTTCGTCACGATTATTTTCCGATGTTGTCTTAACATCAAGTTACAGATAAGTATAATGATCACTTCAGCACTTCTTATGGAATCCGGACGACACGTTGATTTTAATATAGGGAAAAGATGAACTCGAAAATCTTAATTTTCTTATGAATATATCACACCGATAAACTGCACGTGTATTTTGAAAGTAATGCGTTGTTTGCTATGGACTTTCTCCTTCCAGTACAGGTATCTGTAATCTCACTTCAAGGGTATATTCTCCAACCGATCACTTCGTATTTCAGTTAACTGTTAACAAAATTGTGACGGATATTTAAAGCTTTGAGATCATGATTTTATGTTAGTGACTTTTATTTCCCTAATTTGCAAACAAATTCCAGTGTGTTTACTTGAATAGTTATGGGACTGGCCGTTTAACATTTGCCAATAGATTGATATACTGTAAATAGGAATTCGAATTTCGCTATATCCACAGGGACACCATTTGGCAACAATAGGAAACAATATTCAGCTATTAGATTCACACACATCTAATGGGTTGATTATATGTATTTATTAGATAAGATTATGAACAGTCAATAATTGAAGGATCGTATGTCTTCATGAACAACTTACCTTCAAGTAATATGTGTGCCCGCTGATTCAGACAGTGTTTATTTTAGCACACTTTATTTAGGTATTATACGAAATGAGGCATAAGTCCATTTCGTCACTAAGATAAATTAAAATATCAGTGTGTTCAATGTTGCGTAACAGAAGTTGACATTCATTAATCCTGCATACTACTTCATCCGTTCTTCTGATATATGGACCTCTCTTCCATATAGTCACTTTCTCGAATCCACTATAGAAGTACGTAGCGTCTTCTGTCATTACTTGATCAAAAGCCTTTTATCGTTCACTTTAATTAATCGACGATACACTACTATAGTCAAAAACATGAGTAGTACTACTGCTTATTCCTGGGGTTCATTTAAGCGGTTTGAGGTAACCCCTACAAACTCTACTTGAGATTAACTGATGACAAATTAAATACATTCAGAGTTCAAGAGGTGGTACACTCAAAAATGATTGTTCATTGTTTAACTATGGAAATGAAAATCACTTCAGTCGGTTCTGATTTCTCATATGATATATAAAGCATTTTTATTTTTACATCATGGTATGATAGACGAATGAACTGTTACTTACTTTCTTTATAGTTTATTATCAGTATGACTATCTGACTTGGTTATGATTTTGCACATTCGTATTATTGACCACCTAGGATAGTCATACTAATAAGCAATATCATGCTCACTCTCTCCAATTCCGCTTGATTTGGATTGCGATGAGAAGAATTGACTGTAAAGCTAGTGTGAACACGATGAATGAACAGCTGTGTAACATGAATTCATACACTAGTTGAACAAAACTGTTGTTGATTGAATTGAAATTAGGATCTGATCATCAACTAGGTTTCGGAGTTCAGTTGGTAGAGTATTGGGTTAGTAACCCATAGACCACTGGTTTGAATCCTGCCGTGATCACGATTTTCATTTCATCTTCAATCATCATGCAGTATTTCTAGTGTCTAAAAGTGTCTAAAAGACAAGTTATTCATAATGAAATAAGGCAAGAGTACATAACTGCATCATTTTAATCGGTTTTAATTCAAATAACATTAAGGTTTTAGTTTATCCAGCAAGAGACCTGCATTCACTGACAAAGCTCTCACACTAACTAATATTGAATTCCTTGACTAAGCTGCTTTTCTTAGTCTGATCATAATGGGAATTTCCTTGGCATATTACTATTCCAGCCAGCAAACTATATGAGAATATAAACCGGTCTGGTATTTGCATGGCAAATTTTCGTCATAGATGTCAACAAATGTCTACAAGCTAGATAATTTGTAAGTGTGCAGTTTAAACCAAAACTCGACTTTATATTTCGCTCCATCCACTTCATTTATGGGTATATTTTAAGTGCATTGGTTATGTCTGACGTATACAATACTTAATTAGTTAGTTAAGTGAACGATAACCCAAGAACTACTGAGAATTTCTTTCAATTTTTCTTACTTATTATTTTACAGAATAGAGGTCTTACGGCCAGTCTCTTTTGGACTGTTCTCATCACATGTCTTGGGTCATCGTTTCTCATTGGATTCAATCTTGGAGTCCTGAATTTACCAAGAAAAGTAAGTTAAAGCTTATTATCTAAAATATATCTTATAATTAATGGGAGCGTTTCAAATGCAATGGCAAGCTTATTACCGTTTGCAAATTCCACCTAACTGAAGTAGTACTATCAACATGTGTTTAGTAGTTATTTAGTTGAATACAAATTATATGAAGCAAATATTTACGTATCATTTCGCCGATTTTCTATATTCATCATTACCGGTTAATAAAAGTTAGGCGTTGTTAACTTTTTCTGTTGTAAGGACGAAATCTTTCTCATTGGATCTTTCGGCGTAAAACAAACTATTTTTAATCGATTTAATTTTGGAGAAGTGGTCTGCAACCCCGTTCCACGTATAACTGAAGTGTTTTTTTAGTTTGCTGCATAAATAAGCGCAATTTTTTCGTAATATAGACTTTTGAAATGACCGAGAATATATGCAACTCAAATAATTTGTCTTGAATATGTTGTCTTCTCTGAACTGGAAGGCATAACCATGATGCTTCCGTAGTCTTTCTGTTTAGAATAGACCATCTGGGTCAGGTAACACAACACCCCCAAGTAATATAAACCTGTATAGTGCTATAATCTTGAATAATGACATACATTAGGTAGGACTTAACTTCTCAGACCCATACAAGAAAAACTTGAATCGTAATTGTAATTCATATATTCACACAATCCAGCGGTTAATCAACCACTCAATACTCTCATGGGACCTGGTATATTGCATGAAGGTCCAAGTTGTCACACATATCACCTTATCAAGTGAAAATGCAGCAATATGAAAGATAAGGAAGTCAAAAAGTGAACTTCCTCGAAAAGAAAAAATTTCTCTTCGCTGAAACCACGTCTTGTCTTTTCCTAAAATCAGAAAGTAATACAGAGTGTCAAAAACTGGTGAAAATAGAACAAGCCGGAATGCGACAAGGAAATTAGGTATGATGATCAATATGTAAATAATGTGTGAGTACATCTGCCACATCTCCATTGGTTCTGAGACGCATAATCTGTAGTCTCCAACCATCAGCTTTTGTAGTCATATGAACCCTAACCGCAAAGTTTTCACTTCCCTATGCGGCTCAGCCCAACAGTCAGATTACATCCTGTCCATCTTGAACCTTTTTTTCAGCCTAAACCTACTTCAATTAACACTGTACGACGAGGTTTACGGTGATTAGATATGCGTAACACGCGTTCTAACCACTTCAGTTGAAGAAGTTTCACAACCTCCTTCAGTTATTCACTCTCCTCCCTAAAACTCTATAACTGACTTCTACTCTACTTAAATGATGGCACTATGATACGTGGTTTGTGCTACAAAGGTAATGATGGTCAAGCATTTGGAGCTTTCTGATGTCATCTATCCTCAATGGCCATGTTTCATAGACATATGGTAGGAGACAGTGGACTTGGTGTAGTACATAGGCCGAATGGTGAGCGAGTGGATATCATGGCGGCGTCATAAATAGATTAAGTTGGCGAAAGCAAAACAAGTCATTTGGACTCATGTGGAGATTTCATCATTCACTCAGTGTCCAGAAGACGTTGCATCTTGTTAGCATCATCACCTAACATGACTATGTCATCTGCATACTCTAGGTCTACTAAGGAGTCTTATATCGCAAGATGAATCCCAGGTATTTCTATATCAAAATTAAATAGGAATATAACAATACCAAGCATTTTGAAGCATTTACAGACTAGCTATGGTAAGCATTTTGATAACACTCAGTGGCACAATAGTACATACTTATGTTTACAACAGCATGATTACAGTAGTATTTGGAACGAAAACCAATAGAATTGCAGCGTCAGTCATCGTATCAAAGAACAAGGATAACCAATTGAAGTATTAAAATGGCTGCATACAAAAAGCTTGCCTGAAGAAAATTTGGCCTACAGACAAAATGACTTGGTCAAAACGTCTAGCTAGGTATGTCTAACTAAATGATCTGTCTTGGCCATTGTTTCTCATTGGAATACATATCTTAGTGACTGATAAACTTAACCTATAACTGGTTTCAAGGTAGTATTCATCACGGACTGACATCAGTTGGAAAATCATTGAAAAACTGGTAGTAGTGGACAGGTGTTTCGCCCCAGTATGGGGCTCGTCAGCAGTACGGACCTACGACTGGGCTACGGTTTGAACTCGGGACCATGGTTGTTATTACATAATTTAAATCCATATGAAGGAAATCCTGAAATTAAATGTTTTGTTGCAAATAGGTAACAAAGGATATCTGTGACCTCTAATAAATAACTACACTATCCTGTGTTCGAATCCGTGGTAAGCATTTTAACAAGTTAGGTATACTTTGAAGTTGTTCTGAGTACAGTCAGCCTGTACTATAATAAAGTGTTTACGGGAAAAGGTCACAGGATGCTAACTACTATCATTCAGTATTGCTTATTCCTGGTTGAAGTTTGTCGGCCAAAGTAAATAGTCGAACAGTTGAGATAGGTGATACATGAATACATTCACTACATTTGATAGCTGTAGGCAATCGTGTGAAGCAATGAACTTAGGTTCTTTACCCTAATGAACCACATAAATAATAAAACTTATATAACGCATTATTGCAATTATTACTTCAACGTTTAAAATTCACAAAGTAATAGCAAACCGCTTATCCAGAGGTCGGATACGAATTCCCTTGCAATGGTCTTATCTCTGTATATTCATAAATAGTTTTCTACTATTCAGTTATGTGATTAATACTACACAATATTAAATGAACAAGCTGTTATCCATCAACCCTTCCTAGTAATTAGCAATTGACAATAGTTACCATACTAAAGAATACACTTGATTTATATTTTCATCCTTAAACTGTTTACCAATTTCAAAATGAATCAGTTCATATACCAAAGCATCATTTATTATGTTCATCAGACAATCTTTTTTTCCCGCTAATTTACAGAATATTGAAGCATATTTCAATGAAACAGTTGTTCCAAATACTCCAAATTTGGATTCAAACTTTTTCTATACTCAAGTCAGTACAATCTTTGTGGTCGCAGCTGCCTTAGGAGCATTCAGCTGCGGTTGGGTAGCTGATGGGCTTGGTCGGTAAGTATTAAAAGTGATTGTCTTTCTTACTTCTGATTAATAAATGGTTTTTCTTGAACCCATCATATCAATGATGATGTAATCGAGGTTGTATTCCTTTTCTTCTGTAATAAATGTGAAACTATTTGTTGGATTACCTTAACACGACATTGAGTAAGAATTTCTGTATTATAGGTTATACGATAAACTGAAGCTCCGAGTATCGGCAACAGATATCATATACCCATGTTATTAATCATCATTTTCGACGCGAATGCTTAGTGAGATAGACTGATAACAATATCCAACCTGTCACTGAAATATCCGTCATCTATTTCACTTCTAAAGGTACTCTCGTGGAACAATAAGGTGTGATTCTTTCACAAAACGATTTAAATTATAGAACATGAATAAAAATGTTAATACTTTTTCACCTATTGTAAATTGAATGACATAAATATTGTTGTATTATGTGATACTATAGTTAAAATTATTTCTATGACCTCGAGGTCTGTGTTCATCTTGCTACCTTACTCGTAATAATTATCATATTATCTTTTAGTCCACTTTCATTAACTGTAAACCTCTTGCTACATAAATTTAGACTAAATTTCACGTATAATCTTTTTAAGACACATGAATCTGTGTCATATGATTGTAGAAATAACTAATAAATTTACTAATGAGTGTTTTAAACGATTGGAATATACATCAATCTCCTATAAAAAGTAAATAACTGAAGTGAAAAGAAGACTTCAGAGGGAGAGAGAGAGAGAGAGGGAGAGAGAGAGACAAAATCAACCTAGGATGCCGGACACAAGTACATCCGCTCCAGTTGCCACAATTCACAGTAAACAAAGAACCGGTAGATAGAAAAAGAGTGATATCAAGGTAGATGAAGTAGTGTGCAAGAACCAAAAATCTGAAGACAACGGTTAGTGCAAATATTCTAGCTTTAGATATCAAAGGGTGAATATATCTGTACCATCGCTACCGAGTTTTAGCCATATCACTAAGAGTCAATCCTCAGCCACTGATTCCTGGTTGGAGTCCACATCTCCCCGTACAGCTCAGGTCAACATTAAGAGACTTTATCGAATGGTGCCAGATCTCGGTCTGGTCAACCTGAAATTTCTTTCAAGGTAACCCAACTTCCCCTAGCCATGGCACGTCAAGGTTGACGGTGGCTTAAAAAGCGCAACACAAGTCCAAGCCATATCAGTCGACTAAGGTTCATAGCATCGTTAATCGACTTGCCTGTCTTACTAAGTACCTTTCACTTGACCTCAGCATTGCACACGCGGTGATTTTAATGAACGCAAGCAATGTTAACAAGACATCTGTGGTCAAAACTGTATTATTGCTTCATGTCTTCTGCTTTTAACGGCCATGTCTCAGCCGTGCAACAGAACAGAATGGCCTGCAGTGCAGTATACTCATCCTTGGATAAATAGTTGAGTAATTAATCTGCGCCACAGGTGACATAGGTTGTGTATGCTAATCATGCCTTCCGTATCTGAGCTGAGATTTTATCAACAACTAGCTCATTTGAACTGATGCAACCTCTCAAGTGAGTGAAATGGTCGACAAATGCAACCTTTATAATAAAGGTGTAATTTAAACTACTAGTTTCTTTGTTGTCTGTTGAGAACTGATGTGTCTTATTTGACAGCAAAAAAGTTCTACGTGTCAGTAAATTGATGTCAAAGCTTTAATTTTTTTAACCATAAGCTAAAGTTTTGTACTGGGATACAATCGGTTGTCGATGGTTATTACTAAGTGGCTTTGAATGTCAGTTGAAATTATTCATTACTTAGAGATTTATAGAGAAGGAAATTTTTTTCAGCTTCGTTGCTTGAAATTTTCAATGGATACTAGTCAGTCTTCAAACTTCTTTTTTTCTTGATAAAAAGAATGCAAACTTCATAGTGCATCGTGTTTAATTTAGGCCTTTTGCAATTCCTTAAGTCTATATGATAAATTTAAGAGCCTTTTCCCTTCTCTATTTCTTATAGGCGTAATGGTTTAATCGTGAATAATGTTATTGGTATTCTCGGTGGAATCTTAGTTGGTCCATGTGTTCTTGTTCAACAGCCTGTTTTGTTATTTGTTGGTCGTTTCATTATTGGTATTAACAGTGGTATCACGATTGGTATAGCTTCTCTGTATCTAACTGAGGTTGCACCACGTGATCTGCGTGGAGGAATAGGTGCTTGTCATCAGTTGGCTGTAACTATTGGAATTGCATTCGCTTACTTCATTACATTTTCATTTCTGCTGAACACACCAAACTTATGGCCACTTGCTGTCGCTTTAGGAGCAGTTCCAGCTGCTGCCTCATTGATTACTCTACCTTTTTGTCCTGAGAGCCCTCGATTCTTATATATGAAAAAGAATAACGAAGCTGCAGCAAGAAAAGCATTTGTAAGATTGAATTCTAAAGAAAACGTTGATACATTCATTGGAGAGCTTCGTGAAGAAATGGAAGTAGCGAAAAATCAACCAGTTTTCAAGTTCACTCAACTTTTCACTCAAAGAGATCTACGCATGCCTGTGCTCATTGCTTGTCTTATTCAAGTGTTGCAACAGTTATCCGGAATTAATGCGGTTAGTTTGAATTGATATTTCCTCATTTTGTTTATGAAGTGACCGCAGCGTATAATAATAAGTATGCTAAACTATAATAGTGCAATGCAGTACCTGGACTGGATACATTTACTGACTGTTCTCTCTTAAACGTCTGATGTTTGACTAAACTGCGAAAACCAAAAGACAAAGTCCCGCTTGTGACTGTAAGGAAGATAACTTTATTTGACAGCATTATTTATATACAGTTTTCCTTCAGAAAATGAAACCACTTGGTCACAAGTGGGACACTATTCTTATTGGTCAGCTGAAGGACAAAGTTGTTCAATAACACGAAATTCGAAATTTTTACCTGGGCGGCTGATAATCTTTAATGTTGATTTCGACTTGGGGGACTTCCTATCAGTTTGTGACGAAGTCATGCATGCAAACGTCAATATCCTACCATTTAAGTATAAAGTTGAATTACATTCATCATTGTGATCTCCTTTTAGAGACCTTTTAGTTATTTCTATTTGAAGCAATCCTTCGAAGGCTACGTAAACCATCCAGCTCCAAGAACACAACGCCATCAGAATCGTCCTCCTAGTCTGCAAATGTTCTCCATCATCTCAAAATCTAGCGACTAGCTATAACTCATTACTGTGTCATGTTTTCAAGCATCCATCTAAACTTTGTTTAGTGAGATGATTAGAAAGTGGTAATTATTTTGTCTGCAAAAAAAGGTGTACGACTAACTATTTTAATCGCAAAACAGCTGTCCCACTTGTTTCATACACTACAGTCGTGTAAAAAGGAAAGATCTCCAAGGTGACGATTATTTTTTCTGACAAGTATACAAAGAGAAGAAAAATCGGGTTCACTACTTTTGTAAATTATTATATGCCAAGGTATATCTGCGTAATGACAATCAATACATATACACCTGTATCTTATAGAGTGTGCAATCGCCTCTTCAGCAATCTTTTACGGCAGCATTTTAGATAGAATATTTTAATTTATTTTTGAGATGTCGTGAGTTGACAGAAGTTGGAAATTGTGAACCACTGGAAATCGACCCAGTGGCTGAATGCTTAACGCGTTCGCCGTGAAACCTGAAGGTCTTGAGTCCGATCCCTAGCCGGGTCGTGGGTGCTTACTACAGAGGAGTCCCATGCTAAGACGAAACAGCTGTCTAGTGCTCCCAGGTTTTCAGTAGTTCCCCAACTGATACCAGTCCATGATGAATACTACTTCTAAATCGAATATTTTAGTTTTTGAGATGGATGGGGATTTTTAATTTAGAAGTAGTATTCGTCATGGACTGACATCAGTTTGGGAACCATTGAAAATCTGGGAGCACTGGACAGTTGTTTCGCCCTAATATGGAACTCCTTAGCAGTACGCACCCATGACCCGGCTAGGGATCGAACTAGGACGAAACAGCTTTCCAGTGCTCCCAGATTTTCAATGGTTCCCCAACAGATGTCAGTCCATGATGAATACTACTTCTAGAATATTTTAGTGTCTATCACTTGTAATTGTAAATTCACTGTACATTCACTTGTTATGTATACATCGAAGACATAGGGAAACATTTTGGTCAAATTCCATCCCACTAGGACTCGGGTTTATATTATATATTTATTCTTTACCTGGTAATAATAAAATTAGCTTGCCAAACCACAGTTATCTCAGACAGCCCTATTTATAATTAATACTACAACCCTCTTGTCTCATTCAGTTCAATTTAGATTGAAATGAGATCTGGATGAAAAGTTAATGTAAGGACAATGAACGGGGAGTTTCAGTATCATGCCTTCATATGGTAACCAACCAGAAACCCCAGTGATTGAAGTAAATGTGAAACTTTTCCGGTAGCTCGATCTCTTAGTTCCGTTGATAGATCACCCAACCTTGAAACAAGAAGCTGCTTTTTCGACCATACCAGTGACCTAAGTTTTCACTTCATCTTTGTTCACCCATCACCCAAAGTAACTGTTATGGTTTCAAACGCTAATGGTTATATATATTCCGAAACGAATATAATACGCTTGCTTAGCTGACAGCTTACTACGCAAGAGCCACTGACTACAACCTCGGGACGAATAGAGAGAAGACCGAAGCTGGCAGATGGGAGAGTGTATTACTCCTAGAATATAATAACAATTCACTCCCAAAACACGTGAATAGGTACACTTATGAAAAATGACCTTGTCCTCAACTTTGAGAGATTTGCATAGTAAGAGCAAAGATTAACCAATTAGCGACTTACATTACAATGGGGGCAGAAAAAAGACTATTAGTCATACCGTAAAATGGTGTGGGAATGACACGTTAAAATGTTCAGATCAATAACAATGTTTTAAACAAAACTGGGGCATCACAACACCTCCCACTTTTTGAAAGAAAAAAACAGAAAACTTTACTACCTTAGCTTTTTGGGATCCAGATGGAACCGAACTGTTGGGGACCGCTTTCGATCCGTACATCTTCTGGGGAGGAGGTCGACCAGTCTTCCACCATAGCTTCGTTATATCGGAAGCTGTGTCGATTTGTAATCATGCCGAATGGTTATTTATCTGGACGGTGATATATTTTCTCCTTGCTGGTGCATGTGTTGAAAAGCAGCAGTAAGACTAAGAGATTTACCGACTGATCGAGACTTCGATCTTCGACGGTAACTGGATTGTGACCTGCCTGTTCTGTGTGATGGGGGCTGCTTGCAAAACCCGTCATTGTGACCCACAGTATTACAATCCCTGCCTTTATTCTGTTTATAAGGACAAGATTTAACGAAATGCCATGTGCCACAATGCCAGCAGGGGGATGGTGGAGTCTTCTTCATGTTTCTTCTAGTATTGTATGGGCTGCCGGGATGACGAACAGGAGGCGAAGAACCAGGGGTCTTTGGGCCAGAAAGGATGCAGAGGAATTCGATTTCTGGCGAAAACATGCACTTCATGGTCACCCTGGCGTCCGGATTGGACTAAACTTGTATCTCATTGTAGGTTTACCGATCGTTGACATTCAGCAGCGATATCATTCAGCGTTAGAGTTGGTTCTTGTGTAGAATTCATTGACACGTTAAAATGTTCAGATCAATAACAATGTTTTATACAAAACAGATCTATTGACATTGACCCAATCGATCACCCAAGAAGAAAAAAAAACAACACCAAGAATGTCAAAGTTCACTTGTATGTGGCAACTAATGGAAATGGGTATGGAGACAATGACAATATTTCAGCAGAAACAAGCAATCACACAAGGAGTCATCAAGTCAATCAGCTAAACCACTTGTGATGAAACTGTCACCACTTACTTCTTTCAGAAATTTGTGCCCATTATGTTGTCTAGAATAACAGTGCAAACATTATGATTAAACTATCCAGGTTAGAAAACACAACGCCATCAAAACTACAAATTTCTTGTTTACTAGCTTTTCTCAATGTACAGTTTGAGATAGTTATAGTAGACTACTTTGAAGAATTTGCTATCTTTCTTTCATCCGATCACTTTTATATGGTACAGTGTATTAAACACCAATATGCGACTGGAATCTTTAAACCCATACGGAAACTGTGCATTTGAGTGTTTTGTCACTTTGGAAACTTGATCAGTAGACTTCGGCTAACCCCCAAGAATTGACCATTACATTGTTTACCACTCAGTGATCCATTCATTTAAATAAAAACTGAACTTGATTTAAGCAGTGGTAGTGGTTACTTAACGGTAGATATCACTCCCTTCATGTATGTTTTCATGGTATCAACAAACTTGTAAATATGAATATTGTCTTTTCTTTTCAATACCAATACAGATCAGTTCAACTCACACTCTGTAGTGATGTAATGCTAAGCAAACTTTTGTGTGTGTTATTTTTTTCCCTTAATAACATGTTTATGCATGTGTATTTATTTGCCCTTATTGTACAGGTTATTACTTATTCATCTCTCATGTTGGAATTGGCTGGCATCAGTGACGCTTACTCACAATACTGCGTCTTTGCTATTGGAGTACTCAATATCATTGTAACAATTATTTCTCTTCCATTGTTGGAGCGTGCTGGACGTAGAACACTACTGTTATGGCCCACCGTATCTCTGGCTTTGTCTCTGCTATTGCTCACAGTATTTGTCAATTTGGCTGTTTCTGGTCCAGAAAGTTCAAGATTTGCAATGGGGATTATATCAAATATTCTTATCTTGATCTATGTATGCAGTTTTGCATTGGGTTTAGGACCAGTCCCCGCTCTTATCGTGTCAGAGATATTCAGACAAGGTCCTAGAGCTGCTGCTTATTCACTTAGTCAGTCTATCCAATGGCTATCAAATCTGATTGTGTTATGCAGCTATACTGTAATACAGGTCAGTTACAATTGAATAACATGTTGGTTGACTTATTAAAAATTGTAAATATCCCAGATTAGATGAAATAATAAGTTGCGAAATGCTAATAACCGTATCATCATTACATATAGATTACAAGCGTACAGGATCAGTGGTAAAACGATGCAGCCATTTTAATCAAAGTAATCTCAGTACATATCCAATCGTTCAGTTTGCTTGAGTTCAAAAATCTGTTTAATATCATTGATCCTCTACTTATAAGTGTGGATAACTATTCAATATCATGCGAACACCTGATATATCAATTACTGACATTCTAAAAGGGCCCAATAAAGTGCTATTATTCAAGCCTATAGTTATTAGGTTGTCACATCGGTTTGAGGATGAGAAAATACGTTTCTTTACCATTTCCTCTGAGCCAGAAGTTAAATTCTTAGACCATCCGTCGTTATGTTAGTACTACAGTCTATGCACACCTTTCAGTCAACAAACCAGGTTATGCAACACTGTCAATATACAAGTACAGGTTATCTCAGGAAGTTATGTTACTGCTTGTAATATGCCGTCCTCAATTGGACCGAATTGATCGATCTCCTTTGGCATATGGACTCTTGGCTGGATACTGCCTGAATATTTATTGTTATAATTGACTTATTTGTGTCTGGCAGCGGATACCAGGACGAGAGTTTCTTTCTATTTGTGACTCGGTAGCCAGATGTATCTTGACCCCAGTCAGTGATGTTGTCCCTACTAGAACTCATATAGCTTTTGTGTTGTTGCTTGTAATATCCTGTCACTGACGAAACACGCTCTGGATTCCATTGCTAGCCAATACTCATCACTATTATTATGTCATAAAAAGTATCCAAGTCTCTTGAAATCTCAATTCTATCATTCATATATTTGTAAAATCGTCTTATCATACCTGATTATGATCAATAGTATGTGAGATTGGGAGGTAATAGTGAAAAGTTAAGAGAACTTGTCCGAAAAATAGCATTCATTTATTTTTAATATGAAACATTTTTAGGAGAGAGTAAGAGCCGTAAATAAACTTTTAGTTCATCGTATTTGTAAACAGGGTTCCATGGGAAATATGTACCAGTTATACACTTTTCATCGTTTAAGCTGGTATCCTCATAAAATAGAATCATTAAATATCATTAGTCAGTTAGAAATCCATCTTTAATAGGTGATATCAAGTAGACACCAAAAGCTCGAGGTTTCGAAGTCACAATACTTCGACAATGGAAGGAATGATAATATATACTGCAGGTTTCAGGCCTCATGAATTGTACTTTTAGATCCGTCAGTTAGCTAACTGATCTCAATAATATTTCAGGTTTAACAGACAGGAAACCATATGAGTAGATTACTTCATATTTTAATTTTACGGGTTTTCCTTTGATGGTCAATTTTGCAAAGAAGTTGCACTGATAATCAGAATTCAAGTAGATCGATGTGTTACCAATATGATAAAATCTTCGGTATAAATCTCTTTATTGTTGCACTAGGATATGTGCTACCTTTTTACAACGCTAAAATTATTGAGCTGAGCGTGAATCAATATGTGTTGCGCCGATATGTACAACGATATTTTGTTATCTGACTGCCATGCGTAGCTTTATTTACTAGACATTCATCCACATTGTTCAGATGAAGACTTCCGATTCTACTCTGGTCGCTTAGAAATTGGCAGTATAGGCAAGAAATGGAAACAAGTTAACTACTGTTTAAAATTCTATTAACATTAAAATTCTGAATTCAGTTTGACTCTACCCTAAGCGAAGTGATTTACGAATTCGTTTCAGTTTAATTCAGTTACTACGTATGCAATGGTATCATATTATGAAAATGTAACGCTGGTTTGAACTTCTGCATGGCTAGGGTTTCAGTTATAGCAAAATGCCTTGATCTTACTTCCTTCTAGTGGTCTGATCAAACCATGTGTGCATGCCAGTTAACTTGCTCTTGTAGAGCTGAGTACATCGGCCGTACCATGTGTCTGGTTTTAAAACGTATCCACGAAGACTGACCAGCCTTGCTGGCAAAGGAAGAATGAAAATGTGTCTTCAGTTCAGTAATAGAACATCATGTGAACTTAGCTTCTTTTTCAGAGTCCATTCAAAATCCTCTACAGAGTTCTATCAAACCGATCGAAGGGAGTAAGATCTACGTATTTGGCTACAGTTGAAGCGCTAACCATTCAGAAGTTCAATGCAGTATTTTGTGTCTAAAAACATATCTTGCTTTATAGAATAACTCCTTAGTTTTATGTCAGAGCAGGCTGTTTAATCGTATCATTGCTTACACTGTCATTATATTGACGTCAAAGATAATAGGGATAAAAATACAAGTCCGTGAATATTTTCAAATCACAGGTGGCAGATATCGTCGATAAAAATGTCAAACTTCCACGTGATGGCGTATGGTGCAGTTAGTTTTGTAATTATACCACCTTTGTCCGTAAATATTATGTCTTCCTCTCGCTGTGCAACTCCGTCTATCCAAGGGGTCATCTCTTTATACTACATTTAACTAATTTTGATAAAAACGTATTGGTCTCATAGTGAGTGTAAGATACATGGGAAACCTTTCCTTATAATTAAGTCAGAATATAAACTACTAATTAGTAATTATCATTCTTTACACTGGGTAATGATTGAAGTTGAAAGTGATCTCGTAGCTCAGTTTGTAGACCATCGGGCCGGAAACCCTGTGGTCATTGGTTCGAATCCGACAGCGGCTCAAATTTTCATTTCACCTTCAATCATCATCCAGTATAAATACTAATATGCCAAACTACGGCTATATCAGATAGAATGATAATTATCATCCTATATCACTTGATTTTAAGCATGTTTTGTTTCTTTGTTTTCTTTTTTGATGAATACAGAAAAAGATCGGTGGATATTCATTTCTACCTTTCTTTGTTATCGTTGTCATTTGCTGGATCTTCTTCTTCCTCTTTATGCCTGAGACTAAAAATCGTACATTTGATGAAGTTGCTCGTGATCTTGCATTTGGAAATATTGTCGTTGGCAAACGTACAACTGCTCTTGAAGATCGTAATCTTACTATATTCACCAAACAAGGCCCTGTATCGAATGCTGATGGTCCAGCGTCCGAATCGTTACTTTATCCTCGAGATGACAATGATAAGGGTACATACGCCTAACAATTTTTATGCAGTATACCTGCTTACCATTCATAGTTTAGGGATTAATAATTTGAATCATTTTGTTCATCTTTTTGTGCATATGTGTAAGTGTGTGTGTGTATAATCCTAATTTAGTATGATGTATCAGTACTGCGAGTATTATCTTCATTTGTTTGGTTGCGTAATTAAATATGACCGGTATACTGGAATGCCTGCACATAAACACCCTATTCTGATATTTATCTGCTAATAGCGTATGTCTTTATCGGTCGGGTGTCTGTGTGTGTGTGTGTGTGTGTGTCTAAGTGTTTACCATAGTTTATTTGTACGGTGTGAATATTACCACTACTTTTCGTCTTTTAATCACGCTTTCATTGAAAGAAAATGACACTTCTAACTTATCATCATTATGATGACCATGTCCACTTATTCGTTTATTGTTTATCATCTAATACGTTCGAAACTGTTTCTTGTCATGGCAATATATTATAATTGTATTACTTACTGTTTATTGTAATCCTACAAAATTAGGAGTCTCAAAAACTAGCCTTTAATATGGCATCAACGAATAAATATTTCACGGGAAGAAATACATTATGAAAAAAAGAAGTTATGAATGTGACATTGTTCTAAATTTTCTTATCCTGACTAATTAAATTAATTTTGGATGAAAACTTGATCTTTAAACTAAGCATACATAACTGTGTATTCATAAATCGAATCAATTTTTTCACATATATAAATTTTTTTCATTTCTGTTCAATCTTCCTTCTTTTATTTTTGTCCCATCCGGTTCCGTTACATTTATTGTTACATCAATATTGTTTTTCTTTTAGTTTGTACTTTTTTTTGTGTGTTTCATTGTCTTTTTTAAGATATCCTTTGATGATAGCCTGGTTTTTACAAGTGTAATGTAATAGATCTATGAGTGTCTCAACAAGCAGTAAAAATAATTATTGATTGTTTCTTCACGTTTAAAAAATAATGTTCTTTATATGTATGCAAAACGTTGATTATATTTCATATAACACACATACTTATGTCATCAACACCAGATTTTCAAAGTATATCTCTCTTCATAATACGTATCCTGTGTTGTATTCATTTTCTTCAGTCATAAAATAATTGTTGGTTTGATCAACTGTGATGATTTCCACTATGACAGAATATATTGGTTGTGGTCCCTTTTGAACTGATAGTGTCTAGATTTCTTTTTAAGGTACCTGACTATCTAAACTACAATACGACCGTATGAATAAAAAGGACTACTGTCCACTATGTATCACCTTGCCTGTCGGATCCGGTTACTTAATCTCAATGCGAACCTGATAGAATAATCCACATTCCACAGAAAGTAATAAATGGAACTGTGAAAATATGAGAAATACATGCTGCTCGTAGTAAATGGTCATGGTCTGGTACTAGCTATTTTAATATGCCACGGCTTAATAACTAGAATTCATTGTCTGTGATTTGATTTTTAAACAAACAACAAATCCTATCCAACACGATAATATTTTCTTGTTGATAATTTATCACATTCACCTAGTTAGTTTAGGTTTCTAACAGCGGATGACTGCCACCGAAAAATGATATACAAATTTGTATGTGTGTGAGTTACATAGATTTTGCTGAAGCAACTGACACTAACTAACTGCTCCAAACTCAGTAGATGCAGCAGAGTTCGAATTTGAGACCCACTGGTTGTAAGTGAGCTATAGCTACATTTACTATTAAAACATTGAGTTCGATTTGCTACGGGGATACTTCACTTCGCAGTAGTAGCTAGGTCGACTAATGGCTGCTACCTTTACGTAGTGACCAGTCTTGTATACCACAATGACTCAATCGGTTACACTGAATGCAACACTTGTCCCTTGAGGCTTTACCGTAACAGAAAGGTTTTTTAACCAGTAGTAAAATAAAAATCAGTTAACGTTGTAATGTAAATTGCGACACCATAAAGGTGACCCCAAAGTGAGTTCGTACTGCTGGCTGGATGAAGGTTGACAAGAGTAAGGTGTCTCCTGCCGCTGGACCGTGGTACCATGCTGATGTTGCCCTATGAAAGGAAAGAGATTAACTTTTTCCAACCACTCCTTCCAACAGGGGAAGGTTAGTGTTGACCTTGAAAGTAATAAACTCCTCGCTTTCTTATGCTGTCCTGGTGCCAACGGTAAGGTTGTACTTATCCGGTATTGGAACAGTGGAGTCTCAAACTAACAATCCTAAAATGACCACATACGACAGTTGTCAACCAGATATCTTACAGGCTCTTTGATGACACATATCCACTATTTTTCCTCTTCCAAGCACCATAGAGAAGGACTTCCCCAGTGTGTGTGGCCAGAAAGTACCAACTACCTGTGCACTTTCAATCAAACACAAACTACCCTCATTATCTTTGTTTTCCTCCGTACCTTGACTTTCTGATGCCAGCACTAAGCCTCTTAGGAATTCCTCATCCTGTCACTCGTTAACCATTAAAAACGATCAAGGCTGGTGAAACGCCATCCCTGGTCTCTTACTAACCCACTGTGAATTTCAGATTAGAGTTTTCAACGTCCGAATCTTATGTCAAATCAGATAAAAGTCATCTGCTAAAACTAGATAACCTGAAGTCATAGACGTATACTGTGCTTCTAATGCACGCCAACAGGACCTAAGTCTTATTATTCCCTTCATCCTACCTGACCAATAAGATGAATCTTCAAAATCCACTGAAGATGTGTTCGGAAATTCAGTAGCTGGTGTTGATGAATTCTCTGGTGTGGGTTTAGCGTTAAAACATAGAGCAGAAAGTGTACCTCTGGACTGTATATTAGTCAACAGCCATCTATTTGCTGTCCAACAGAATGAATATGCAAGGACTAAGGAGGATCCTGACATTTACTAATGCCTATTCATAAAATTCACCTGTGAACCTATCGGCTGCATTTCGTAGGATACCAATCTTGACTTTTGTCAAATGGCATACTTTGCTGTAAAACTTAAGGCGTTAAGATGCTGTCATAAAAGCTGGTGACTTCAAGGCCCAAGTAAAAAAGCTCGGTCAGTCGAAAAGGCATCTTCCAGACATCTATGGAGTCGGATGCAGTTTTGTTCCGATGATCACTTCTTTCCGTATATTTAGATACACTGTCCCCTCGGAAAACAAGCCAGCGATGAGCACAGATGGATCATTTTGCTAAGGCGGTCGTGAGAGAGGATTAGCGGAAGATTTTTGCTGTTTCTTAAGTACCCCTTTGAACTCCGATCACGCTTTCGTACAGGCGCACACATGTTTGTACTTAAATTAATGATAGAAACAGGAGACAATGAAGCCTCCCTTTACTCGACTGAAAAACCAGAAAACCACGTCTACACTTAGGTGGAAGTTAGCTAAGAGTTTGTCTGAACGTGAAAGAAATCCTCATCCCGGGTAAACTTGGCTCGATATTCAGTCTGATGTAGGAACATCGGTGAAGACCATTTAGCAAACATCAACGGATTTCCGCAACTTCATGCTAATTGACTAATGCCAGAAAATCCATTCCACTTGACTCTGACCACAATAAGAAGCGGAAACACCTTTGCAATGATTACGACTAGTGGTAGACGGCAAAAGCAAAGAAGATGGGGAAGGGAATACCCGGCAAATATTTAGGATTATTAAGAATACTGGCAGGAAGAGGATGATGGTTGATGATATCATCTCCTGCAAGGATGGAAAGCTGATAACCTTTTAGGACAGACAGCTGAAAAGCTGGTTGAAACACTAATAAACTAGACCACAGCAAAGTTTCAGCTACCAAAGGTCCAGCCTGAACAGGAACCGGACGTAGATGCAGGTCATTCAACTCTCCTTAAAGTTTTAAAACTGAAAAGATGCAAAGCAAGTGGGCCTACTGATTTGGTACCCTAAAATCTATGGGATGAAGGTAGGAAATTATTCAGTAGGATAATGGGAGTGTTCCTTAGCCTATAAGACTCAAAGGTAGTCCCTTAATAATGTTTTACTTCCCTGATCACCAAAGTCTATATTGAGAGATATAGGTCTTCTTGTGACAACCTTAGGGGAATCAGTTTGACTACCACAGCATCCAAGATCTTAGGGTCCTTATTCATCCAACATCAGACTGAATTCAAGAATAGCAAACTCAGGCGTGTTCCTATCAGATCCTTACAGTCAAACGGGTTCCAGACCACGAGCAAACCTACCGGCGGCCGAAACTCACCATATTTCGTAACCTGAAGGCGGTATTTAACTCTATAGAGAGTGAGGTGTTGTGACATTGTCTGACTGTGAAGGAAGTACCAGTCAAGTGTATTATACTAGTCAAAGGCTTCTACTCGAATACATGCAGCGCTGTCATCAGAATTGACGACAACTAGTGGTGTCCGTCAGGGGTGTTTGCTGTCACCGTTTCTGTCTAACTTAATCGAAATATACTGATAAACATGACTTTAGGCTCCTCTGACATCACAAGGACTAACCTACTCCCTAGAGGTCATCTGGTTCACTTGGAGTACATAGAATATGTTGTCCTTCTGTGTGAAGACACTGAAAAAATCTAGAGTCCTATAAATGCCCTAAGCAGAAATCTGAGCAGGTTAGCCGTATGCATTTTGCAGTTGTCAAATGTAAGACGATGCTTTATGACTGGTTTTGAGCAACTCACAGCTTAAGAGTAGGGATTGGCATGATGGAATGCATCGATCACTACACTTACTTGGGGAGTTGCATTAGCTTGAATGCGCTTGCTGTTGACGAGATCTAAGCTCAGATATAAAAGCTTATCTGGCATTCGCAAAACTTACATTTCTGGTGCCTACTGGCAAGATATCCGACTAATTGTTAAAGAATGAGTGCACTGCAATGCGATCCACTGTGTCCTAATGTACAGCTATAAGACATGGCCACTGAAAGTAGATGTGGTGGGACCACGTGTTTTGACCACAGGTATCTTCTCCGCCTCTCTCATGTATGACGGAATCACCATGTAACCACTGTCGAGGTTATGCGACGGTAAGGAAAGTCAGTCGATTACGTTGTGAACCTTCACCGTCTGATGTGGTTAGCTGGACAGGTGCTAGGCAAGCCAACCCACTACCCACTTCGACGTACAATGTTAGCTGAAGTACATACGTCCATGAACTCACCGACTATTGATCTCAGCTGTATAGGAAGCTGTAGGCTGGTTGACTATGGTCCTAGAAACAACGAAAACCAATGAGCGGAAATTTTTGGTTACATGGCTGAAAATTGCTTAGATGAATTCACTCTTTAACATTTTCTAAAGCCTCAACATTCATTTTGAAATTTCTTTGAGAGGTTCTATTTGATGTCAGCTTTTCTGTCTGTAGCTGTGTGTATCATTCCAACTGTCGTCTCTTAAAGTTCTATTTTCACAATAAAAATAGTATTTAATCTGTCTGTAATAATGGTTTAATACCTCCCTAATGAAAGTATTGACAAAAATGCATAATGAAACTCTGTATGAATTTTCTTTGCAATAAAACCATTAATTTACTATTCTGGTTTGCTGTGAACAATTTCCTTGCTATGAATTCATATGATTTGTTTGTATGCCAATTTATTCTCTCGTTCTTAAGGCAATGAAATTTCTCTGTCTTACTCAACACTGATGCAAATTACAGGGATAAACTATAAAAGAGAAGAAACATTTAGTTCATAATTTGAATTCCTATTTGTCTAGATTCACGAAAAATAATGACAGTCGATGATTAAATTCAAACTTTAAGGGAGTTGTGGGGATTTGGAAATGCTTCAAAAATTCAATTGAACTGGTGCTTATTTGGTGACTAGCTTCGAGAGGTATTCCCGAAGTCCTAATGAGAAGTCATGACCGTTGGGGGCAAAGCCTAATAATCGTGAGGACAGTTACTTAACGATAATATTGGATGGCGGTTGCTCTATATCGTGAGCTAACAGAAGTTGGAAATATGGATGGTTGGATTCTGACTCAGTGGCTAACTCAGTGGTAACGTGCTGGTCATGGAACCTGAAGTTCGCTGGTTCGACCCCTGGCACAGTGGGGTTGTGGGTGTGGACATCTGAGGAGTGGCATACTATGATGAACCAGCTGTCCAGTGCTCCCAGGTTTTCTTTGTTCCTCCAACTGATGTCAGTCTAAAATGAATAATCACTTGAAATTCAAATTTGTTTGGGGTAAACATGGTTAGCATC